TCAGAAAGCTAAATATTTTATCCAAGGACATAGGCTCTTAAGACCCGAAGGTCATACATGCCCTTTTCTCTTTGACATCAGTACATAAACCTGGCTTTCCCTCAGTGAATGCTGTGTCAGGGGCTCAGAGCCAAGACTTCGGTTAGGCATATTTGAGTCTTTTTTTTTTCCTTGGGTACAGGGTTGGGATGTTGGAGTAGACAGGCTTCTCAGAAGGCCCAGCCTTTACTTATCTGTCTTTTCTCTAGTTACCATCGTTGTGAGTTCAAGATCCCACTAGCCATAAAGAAAGGTGAGTAGAAAGTGCCCTCAAGGCAAGGAAGGGGTTTGGAGTTCATTCTGTACTTGGATTAGGAAGAAAGATCCAAGCAGAGAGGGTAGTAGTGTCTAGGTTTGTAGAGCCTTTGCATACCCTCAGCTCCTCTGGAATGGGCTCCTAGTTCCGAGGACTGTGTTATTCTTGGTCTGGGGTCTCCTGGAGGCCCTTAGGACCTTATCCTATGACTAGGACTGATGGTCTCTAGAGGGGAGAGTTTTCTCTCTACAGGTCATCATCCAAGTGGCCCAGCCCAGCCTTGGTGCCTGTTGCCCACTGCTAGTTGGTGTACCAGTTAGTTCCCTTACCCACCATCCTCTTCTGGACTCCAAAACAGGCCCTGTCTGGCCTACGTACTCCAGCCCCAATGCAAACGGTGGCTGGGTCTGGATTTGGCCTAGGGCTAGGACCACAGGTAGGCTAGGCCAGCTACCAATCTGCCCCCTCTCTTCTCTTTTCAGAAAATGCAGATGGTCAGTCAGAAACATGCACAACCTACAGCAAGGTGAGCTGTTTTTCTGGCCAGAGAAATGAGGTGGGCATGAGCCTGCCATGGTCTGAGGCTGTATTGTCTAGCCCAGCCATTGGTTGTAGGCATATTCATGTCCCTGTTAATCCTTCCTGGCCCTATCCCTATTGCAGTGGGACAACATCCAGGAGCTCCTGGGCCACCCTGTGGAAAAGCCTGTTGTCTTACACAGGTGAGTGATAGGTTGCTATTTCAGAAGGATGGAGGAAGCCAGACAGTGGGTATTGCTTAGAAAATATCAAAGTTTCTGCTGTTGCCACAAACATGCTTCCTGCCCTATCCTGAGGTTAGTACTGAGCCAGCTGTTATGCACATTTACTTGTGACAGAGGTTGCACCTGGGGATATAGCCTCTCTCTCTACCCTGCCTCCAGGAATGGGGGCCCTCTCATTGCTAGTTATTCAGAAAGGAAAGTGGTTTTGACTGAATGTCCAGGTTTTTTCCCCTGCTGTAGTCAGCAACCTTTGGTTGCCATGTTCTCTATGGAAAGGATCCTCCTTACTTCTCATGACCCCAGTCTAGGTTCACAATAACTTTCTGTGACCTATTGGGCTGTTAGGATTCTGAGTTGGTAGATTCTGAGTTCTTAGTAGATTCCCTACTAGCCCTAGGACCTTGAGGGCCTGTACAGGAGACATATATACACACACAGCCATGAGAGATCACTGGCCAGTAGCCCATGTCCCAAAACAGACCAGCTGCCCTTCTTGGCCTTGGTCTCTGTCTGCCCCTTTAATTCTGGCTTCTCTGGCTTCAGGTCCTCCTCCCCTAACAACACCAACCCATTTGGCTCCACATTCTGCTTTGGTCTTCAGCGGATGATCTTTGAGGTAAGCCCTGGAGGCCCTAGAAATAAGCTCCTGAGGGTGGATGATCATGGCAGGGAAGGCTAGAGACTGAAGAAACAGGGGAGAGCCTAACTGCTGTGCTGGACAGATTAGTCCTTCCCTGGAAACTGTCTGCTGAGTACCTGACCTGCCCACAGTTACCAGTGAGGGTTCAAGAATATGTTGGGGAAATCCAGAGTCACAAAGGTTAAAGTGTACTGTGCACAAGTTGTGTGTGACACAGCTGCACATACAAGTGGGCTTCTTGACCCTTCAACCTTCCCCAGCTCATACGAGGGGGCCACCTCTGCCTGAGAATCTGCCTATTTGCCACAGGACACTAAGCCTTCTACCCCTCCACCTTAACCCATTGTCCTCTTCTGACACCAGGTCATGCAGAACAACCACATTGCCTCGGTGACCCTGTATGGCCCCCCCAGGCCTGGTGCCCACCTGAGAACAGCAGAGCTCCCCTAGGGACGTCCTCACCCATGCCCTTCTGCCCTATGGAACTGTGCATCACATCCTGCTCAGCGGGCCTCCGTGTGCCACCCTGTGGGTTTTCTTGGACACCTTGCCAGTGTTGGTGGGCTGTTGTGATATTTGGAGGTGGGGCTCAGGCTGGTGCTCTGCTGTGTGTGAGGGGCCCAGATATTCCTCTGTCCGTCCTCATCCTGCTGGTGCCAGCAGGGGACACAGAGTGCAAAGAGAAGCACAAACCTTGAGCCTTGATACCTGGACCCAGGCACTCTCGACTAACATGTAAGGAGGCAGGACATGTCAACCCTGTCCCACACATATTGGGAAAGCTTGGGCTCTTCGTGTGGCACCCAGGATGAGCACAGGTCTTGCCTTTGGCCCCTTAAGGCAAGCAGGTAGCGTGTCCATAGAACTTGGTTGCAACATTTGCACTACATCCACTTTAGTTACTTGATGAGCGGCTGTGGCCAAGGTGGCCCACCTGCCCTTCCCTGTTCCTTCCTTGCACGCGCTCCCTGCCAGGCCCAGTAGACACACCCAACTGGTTGAAACAGCTTTCGACCATCCAGGTGTTTGCTCAGGCCTGGTTCTACCCCTCTTGGAGCCAGCTTTCAAGGTCGCCTATACCTGCCCGCCCTGCCCCAGCCTGGCTGCAGGGCTGCATGTTTCCATCCTATTTGCCTATTTTATTTAATGCCAAAGTTTTAGCCAAAGACATCTTCCTCCTTTTGTTGTGTTTCAGCATTCTGTTCTGCACTGTGGGCTGGCTCCCTGCCCTGACCCTGGGCACTGTCCCCTGGCCGGGCCTACTCATGGCCCAGGGCCTTCTTGGGACTCAAGGAAGGCTGGGCTACTCAGTCTCTTCATGGGTCTTGCTAATGGAAAATAGCATATATGTGCTTTAAAAAAAATTAATCCTTTTGAAAAGAATTGAGAAGAGAAATGTATAATTTTATCCCATTTTTAATATTTTGGTCTAGCAACTTGTGATACATAGATGACAATTTTGTGAGTTTTTCAAATGTGTGTACAGATTTTTGTAAATATGACTTTTTTGTAATTAACTCATGTACAGCCTCATCCTGTATAGTTTAATGATGAATGTGCAAGGGGACCTGCCCCAGGCTCCTCTATAGTTCCTGGACCTACAGTCAGGCTTGTGTGGCGCTCTCATGACTTTGTGACTGATTGGTGTCTTCCCATTTAGCCTGGCCGGAGACCCCTGCACATCCCACTGTCAGGGGCAGCCAGGACTGTTCCTCTCCTCCAGGAATGAGGGAAGGTTCCTCATCCCCTGCCCGCATCCCCTCTACAATAAAATTATTCCCTCAGCAGCAGCCCGCTACATGCTGGTGCTGGGATATTTGTACTAAAATAAGGGGTGTTGATCTTTTGAGGGTGGTTGAAGATTATGGGAAGATTTACAATGGAAGAATCTTGGAAGAAGAGGTTGCTTGGCTCCTCTGAAGGGGACAGTATAGCCTCCAGTAGGGGAACGGCGTAGTTGGGTGAAGTGTAAGAGGTGGGAAAAGCCTTTAGCTAGACCGTGTACCCAGTTGTCCTGTATACGACTCCTTCTTCAGTGTTCAGCCAGAGTTGGGCCCAAGAAGGCTTAGCTGTAGGAAAGCAGACCTCACAGGACAAGATCTCAACACCTGGATGGGGCTGAAAATCGAATTTGAGGGGATAGGTGGGAAGCAAAATGTCTTCAAATAAGTTGTGTCAGAATGGCTGCCAGATGCACTAAGGCTGAGGCCAGCACGTGCATGTGCACACGTACGCGCGCACACACACATATCCTGTGGGCCTTAAGGAGGTCTGCATGGTTGAGTCATCCTAGGATCCCATGGGTCCACGCAAGCTCCACATACCTGTTTGCTACTAAGAGAACCAAACATGTCCACTACTTTGGGGCATGTTGGACAAGAGACGGTCTACCACTTCAGCCCTTGCTGTCTCAAAGGGTCACCATTAGACTGGTTCCAGACCAGCTCTGGAGAGGGTTAGACATCTGGAGCCAAGCTCAACCTCCATTCCCTTGGGCCCTGTAGAGGCAGAGGCCAGGTGATCTGGAGAACCACACACACTGTAATAATCTGCCTGGGAAACCCCTTCACGCTTGCTTCCATTGCATCCTGGGTGTGAGTGAACAGGAGCTTGGGGTCTTGATGGGTAGCTACGACTCCCATTGAAAGGGGCCTGCAGCAACCGGCTGTGGATGTGCACAGGATGGCCTGGCTGGCCCGTGCAGCAGGCGCCACATAAGCCAGATGTCAGCCGCTGAGAGCCCATGCACTACAACCAGCTCGCGGTAGAAACAGGGGTCAAAGGTGTGCAGATGAGGCGCAGCTGAAGGCTGGGCAATGCCAAATGTGCGGAAAGCTGGGTGAGGCTCAGGTGTGAGTCGCAGGCGCTGCAGACACATGCCTAGAAAGACATCGTCGATGGGGAAGAGCTCAACCTGTGCACAGGCGCCGGCCAGGTGACGAAGGGTGGCCCCTGAAAGCACAAAGCCACCGCCTCCAGCGTAGGCCGGATAGGCGGGCAGACCGTACACAGCCTCAGGAATGTAGTACTTGCTGGCTCGCGCGCGGATTGGCCGGGCCTGCACAATCACATCGCCCGCAAGCAAGTCCTGCGCGGGATCCCGCGGCGCCAAGAACTCCAGCAGGTTCCCCACGTGCACGAACACATCAGCGTCGCCCTTAAAAACGAAGCGCACATCGGGGCAGAAGGCTGAAGCCCAGGCCAGAAAGTGGATTTCCTTGAGTGTTAGGTTGAAAAACGTGTCGTCGAAGGCCCACAGCAGGATGTCCGCGTATGCGCGACTCTCTGCACGAAGCAGAGCTCGCCAGCGCGTTCTCGTGCCCGCACCATCTGCACCGTCTGTGCCTGCTCCCTTGGGCATGCCCAGCAAGAACACACGGCGCACGAGCGCCCCCTGCACGCGACCCTCAGCGCCCCACGTCTGGCGCACCGCTTGGCGCCGCTCGAAGTCAGCCGCCACCGACTTCACGGCGATGAGCAAGTCCGGTTGACCACCGGGTGCGCCGTCGCCGCGGCACTTGTGCGGCTGGTTAATGAGCAGCGGGAAGCGTCGCTGGTCCTTGGCTCTCAGGTAACGACCGAAGTCAAAGGGTCCCGTGGGCGTAGGCGGTGCCGGCGTGTCCCCTTCGTAGGCAGGTGGGGTTGCGACTGCGTCTGGTACCTGAAACGTGCGTAGCGGGGCCGTGGGCCCCGGTGCCGCCCTGCCCCGCGTTCTAGGCGCGGTAGTCGTCGGGGCCGCACCGTCGCGCTGTGTATAGAGCAGGAGGCCGAGGGCGGTGCCGAGGAGCAGCGTGAGCGACGCGTCCCGGCGCAGGCACAGCCGTCTCCGCCTCATGTCCGCGTGGCGGGTGCCCACTCTCCCTTCCAAGGGTCGCGGCTGGGGCCTCTAGGCCGAAGCAGGTAGCTGGCAGCCGGCAGACTCTTGAGTCCCGCCCACCCCCAGAGGAGGGGGCGGGGGGGCCGCGCCCCGGGGGG